TATTAGTTTGATGAAAGTGATCAACCAGCTATTGATCGACATAGTGAAGAACGAAAACCAAAAACTACATTAGATGAACAAGTATGAAAATGCATTCTCATTTTTCTTGAATTTGACTTACAATGAAAAGTTGTGAAGTGTTAGTGAAGAAGATTGATCATATTCAATTCAAATAAATTTTCTCACTGTCAAACCAACTAATTTAAAATAGGAACTGCTCATACCCTGTACGAAAACGATGATCAGTAGAGTCTATCAGGTTGATCTCGGACGAATCCAAGTCCGAAAAACTTGCATCTGAAGTGCGCTTATGGTTGCATTTCAAAATTTTATCACCATTGCTTTTTCTTTTTTTCGTCATGATTAGATAGAGCTCGACGGCTTACATGGACATTAGAGAGAAAAATTCTGACTGTTCAAAAGAAAAAAACATTTTTGAATATCTGTGATTCCTCTACTTGCAGTACACGATTCTTCCAGTGTTAGTGTATCTCCTAGAATAAACTAATATTTCATATTAGTCCTTTTCTATCTAATGATCCATTCATCTGCTATTTATATATTTATATTTCCAAGAAAAGGCATTAGACAATATTTTTTGGGAGCATTAACACACAGAAATCTAATTTATAATAACCTAAACAAGGAAAGCTTCTAAATTTTGAATGCATTCTTGTCCTGCAAAATAAGGATTTGTCATGTGTTTTATAACCTTACCTGGAAGGATTACAAGAGTCGCAAGAAACGGAAAAAAATTCTTTTTTTTTGGTTTTCGTGATGCTTGTAATTTTTTAAGAAAATTTTGTTTACAAATACCGTGTCAAAGATAAAAAGCCGGTTTAACGATTTTAACTCGAAAAGGCAGCGCATAGGGAACAATCCTTCTAGATTTCTTCTACTCTTAATAGGCCCTATGTTATGACTGACGTTTCATCTCAAAGACGGAGTATCACCTTAGATGATTTTCTCGTCAATATTGTAGAAAAAAATCAATAATGCATTATTCTTATGATTTTTCATACAAATTCTTCTAGGATCTAAAGAAAACATCAAATATTGAAACTCAAGAATCAATTGAAGAAACTCCATTAGAAATATCAGATGGTGAAGATGAAGAAAACAAAGATGAAAATAAACCCGATGAACAACAACAACAACCACAAGAAGTAGAAGAAGAAGAGGAAGAGGAAGAAGAACAAACTGTCGAAGAAACTCAAGAATCTGTTTCCAATCCACCTCCTGCTTCATCATCTTCTGATGAAGACGAAACGTCTGCTTATCCGGATACTCAAGTAACATATTCTGAAGGAAAGCCAATAAAAATTGATAATAAACAGAAGAAAGAACCCAGAATGCAACAAAAACCACCTGTTAAGTCCAATAATGCAAATCAACCATTAAAACGTGGTCAACGAGCACGTTTGAAAAAAATTAAAGAAAAATATAAAGATCAAGATGAAGAAGATCGACAAGTTCGAATGCAACTTTTAGGTTCAGCTGGAAATGAATCAAAAAAAAAACAACAACAACAACAACAACAACAGCAACAACAAAAACAAAAAGTACAAAATAAAGATAATAGAAAAAAGAATGAATCTATTCCATCTCGACCACAATCAGCAGTAGCAGCCACTACAACTATAGATGACGATGAAGGTGAACAACAAGAAGATGAAGAAGAAAAAGCAAAACGATTATCTGAAGATGCTCGTTTACTTTCTACTTTAACTGGACAGCCAACACCTGATGATCCATTAACAAATGTTATTGGTGTTTGTGCTCCTTGGGTTACATTAAATAATTATAAATATAAAGTTAAAATTTTACCAGGTGGTCTTGGTAAAAAAGGGAAAAGTATGAAACTTGAATTCTCATTTTACATCGTATTAAAGAAAGTTTTTATTTAGATGTTCAAGCTGCTTTGAAATTCTTTGCCATGGATCGAACAGCAACTCAATTAGAAAAAGATCTTATTAAAACAGTGAAAGATCAAGAAGTATCACGTAATTTACCTAGTGGCAAAGTTAAATTTGTTCTTCCTTCTTATGTTAAACTTAAATAAAAACATTCATATTTTTATTTGAATTTATTTTTCATTAGAAGGAAAAAACGGACATAAAAGAATCTGACCATGATTTGATCCTTAAAGTCTGTTTACAGATTATAATTTTCATTCAAATTAATCCTAATAGATTATCAAAACTTGGATTTTTTCTATTGCTTATGTATTTGAAAATAAACAAGAGAATGTAGTAGTAAATAAGCTTTCCAATTTCGGAAGTTTGCAGGGCAACGCTGGAAAAATTGATATCTCAAAAAAAGAAAAATGAGTAATAATTTCTACGATTAATAACACAACGATTAACTGATTGAGATATTTACAGCTTATAGCAACGATTTCTATCATTTATTAGCGTTTTAATGATCCCAAAGCTTTCAAGATAAAGCGAGGGCTGGACCATATCCTCCTGTCAAAGAAAAATTGTTCCACTTCAAGGAGAAATGCTTCAACCACATAAAGTCAGAAAGAAACGCTTTTTTTTACAAACACACTACCTTCATTCGACCACATCACTACAAGAGAAAACGAACAATAACAAAGAGAACTACTCCATCCATGTCTTCATTCACAAGCAGAAGTCGAAAAGACTAAGAGAGAAATGAATCATTTTATTTTTTCATCTTAAGGGATGTTTCTAGTAGAAATGGTTATTTTTTTAATGGGAAATAGTTCATCCATATCTCCATATACAAGGAGAAGTCTAAAAGACTTAGATAGAAAGGGTTCATTTTATTTTTTTTTAGCTTAAGCGCTACTTCTAGAAGAAATGGATTTTTCCTTTTAGAAATGGTTATATGTGAAGGAGAAGTGCTGGATCATGTCTTCACTCACAAGAAGTTTGAAAGTCTTAGAGTGTATCTTAAGAAGATCTTGTAGCAGATATCAATTTTTACTAGCAGAAATGATTAAAATATTTCTGCGCAGTGCTTCATCCATTTTTCTACTATTAAGAAGAAATGAAAAATATTTCAAGATATATGAATAAGTTTCTTTTTTTATCTTAAGAACATTTTCTAGCAGCTATAGACGAGATTCTTTTTAATGATTATCTGTTGAAAATATATTTCGCACAATAGAGATATAATTAGTCGTCATGAATCGAAATATTTGTGATTGGTGCAGATTCCTAGTGTTTTAAATTCAACTATATGTACAATATCATATAACAGATCATATGTGATGCAGAAGTAATGGCACAAATGTCGATCCATATTTCTCACCAATAGAAAGGTGATGAAAAAAAACTTTTTTACCAGAAGATAGAGAATTTTGTCTTCTTTCGAATTGTATATAATTTGTTTGTTGTCACACATCCATGATCAAAACGGCGTAAGAAAAAGGAGACACATTCGCACATGAGATTTGTGGTGTTTTGGGTGTGGGTATGAGTGAAGAGTGCATAGGGCCACACCCACCCACATCCACACCCTCAAGATCTAAAGCCTTTTTTCTAAAGCTCTGTAAAGCATATACAACCAGCTCCATCGAACTTTTCACACGTTATAATCTTAACAAAACCCCAAATAAGGCCAACAATACAGTTTGGAACACATACTCCACAACATGCGGCACAGGCTAAACATCCATTTGCGTTTGTATTGCAACGATACGGACCAGATGATATCACCAATACAACAAGCATAGCACACTTCATAGCAAGATGTATACTTGACAACATTAATGGAGAAGGTCGTTCCATTATTTCAGCTGCTATCAGGAGCCGGCTTTGGTAGCCGTGGAAGATGAATGTTTTTCGGCTTTTGCTGAGTGGTAGCCTAGATATGGCGCAAGAATTGTATCAGACTAGGGTTGATAGATTCGCATGATCGGCAAAAATATCTCTAGCTTTGAGTTACTTTAACTTAAAACTTATTTGACTATGCTTTCGTTAGAAATATGCTCTGAATATCTGAATTAGAGTTTCTTATACTGAAATCGACCAGCACCATTACTGGGTATTCATTGAGCTTTCTTAACTTCGTTCGGTTTTGTACGTTCGGCACCATTGTGGCTTTCAGCACAAATATACGAATTCGCTGCTAGTTTTCAAGAAGTGAAATTTCTGGTATTTAACTTCCATAGCTTTTAGTTAAATGAAAGTAAGCATGAGGTCGTTTTTTATTGGGCTAGGTTCCTATCTTTTGTGATGTTACTTCGTATTAAATGTGAGGCCGGTTCATTCATGATTATCAATGTTAAATGATGAGAATGTTCAATCAAGGATTACTAAGAATATTATCTATTGATAAAAGATCGAAAAATTCCTCGCTTCTATCTCCTCTCTTTCTTCATATCGTTTTCAGATTCTCTTGATTTTTTTTTTGCTACTGTTCGATAGGATATATATGTATGATAAAAAGCAAACATACTCACCATGGGAGGACGCAAGACTATATTGATATTATTCAATACGTAGGATGGATGTGGGTGTGAGCCTTCGTTTCATTTACTAACATCCACACCCATATCCACCCACACCCTCCACTTTATAAACCGCACTCGAATAACATATGGGTACTAGCGTTGTTAAATGACTAAATGTTAATTGTTATAAAAACGATGAAGTTAATTGACATCTTCATTTTCTTCTATCAATAAGAAACTGTTTGTGAGTACATTCCTGTAGCACGTAATCTTCAATAATCAACGAAACAATCAATCAATGAGCTTATAACCGATGAAAATTTTCATTTTTGGTATTTTATGTCATAGCCAACACTATTTTTTCTTATCAACAATATTTATTAGATACCTTCAATTATTTTAAATTAATAATAATAATAATACAAATGCACTAAAAACAAATAACTAAACATGATGATATACAAACGCATATCGAACTATAAGAACAAATGTTCGAATGAAAAAAAATGAAGAAAACGAACACAGAAATCGAAACAGGCTAAAAATTAGACATAAACAAGAAGAAATATTAAATCTATGACAATGTTGGTTCTACTTCCATAACTATTTCTTCTATATCTTCATTTGAATCGTTTGTTTCATTATTATTTCTTTGATCCCATTTATTCATATTACATTCTTTTGATTCTGGTATCAATCGCATATTTGGATATAATTTTGCCTGAAAATCTTGAATACATGATAATAGATGTTCATATTGTTTTTTCATGCTTCTATATCGATTATTTAATTCTTTATGACGATTATCAAATTGATGTTCACGTGCAATTAATTTTGCATTAAGTAAAACAATTTTAGTTTGACATTTACCTATAAATAAAATTTTTAATCAAAAAAAAAAATATAATCAATTTTTTTTATTTAAAAAGAAATACCTAAATCAACTTGTGCTTGTTCTAGATGATCTTTTATTATTTTCATTTCATGTAAATGTTTTTCTATGCATTCTCTTTGAGAATCAAAATCAATTGGTTCTTCTTTTATTTTATCTTGTTTTGTTGTTGCTCTCGAAGATGATACTAATGATGATGATAATTCTTTTAATCGAGCTTCATATGATTCAGTTATAGTTGTACATTCTAACTTGAGTTTCTTTGTAAGAGCTTGTTCGACCTCTTTAAATAGGAAATAAAGTTTGAAGTGATTATTTTGAAAAATACAAAGAATCTTGTAAATTACCAAATTTTTCTTGCAAAACTTTATATGCATCATATGCTATTTTAGCATATGTTTGTGCTCCAACGAATGCCTGATTAAGATTAGCTATATCATGTTTAAGTGCAAAGTTTTCTCGCATTATTTTATTGTAATTCATTGGTTCTGGTGTCTTTTCATGATTGTTATTTGATGTAATCTGATTTTGTTGAGTTAACGTCTTTAAACTTGATGGTTTTTGAACTGGAATAGATTTATATGTATCACGATGGTAATTTTGCATTGAAATGTGTACACCATTGATAATGTGATTACGATGACTAAGAACAGAAGTAACACTTGATGCTTCTGTAAATTGAATTAGAACATCTAAAATGAAAATAATCATTTGGTAATTAGAAAAGTTAATGTTTAAATTTTTGAAGAAATTTGTTATAATATCAACTTATTCTTAGCCCAATTTATAGAATCAAAAAAAAAACGCAAATCAAATAATCTATATTGGTTACGTAATGGAAAATAACTATTATGGTTCTTAGTTTCATTGCTTTTTTCTCCTGAATGCGTAAAAAAAAAGACATAACTTAATCAATATTATTATCAATCCTTGCACTAAAACTAAGTCTTCAATAGGTCGTTACTAATCGTTTTACAAATACTAACAATATTTTTTTCCTCTAAATATTGATAAACATAATTAGTTTTTTATATGCATTTCTTTGTAAATCATGTTGATGAGTGTTTATAACAACTATAATAACACGAACCAAAATCCTAATTCTTTAAAACTGCTTATAAAAATCATCCTGATTGTGAAAATTCAGACCATAATATTTCTAACAAGGATTTTCTCCATATTCAAGTTTTTTTTTTTTTGTAGAATGGTGCTTTCTTAATCTATATTAACTTTATGAAAAAAGTAATTTAATCAATGATTTGTTTATTGTGAGTGAATTTATTTGATGCAATAATTCTCAATTGTCATATCGAACAATTATATATTTTCAAAATGAAATCATCGATTTTTTTCGATAATTAACATAGTATGGACTATGGATAAAGTATCTCAAGTTGACAGTAAAGAAGAAAATAACGTTTAATAGATTGTCGAATTCAATAAAATTTCATTTCTCATTTAACAAAGCTACAACTTTAATAATAGATTGCAAGAATGAAATTTTGCTGACCAAAAAAAGCGAGGTTATAACCTTGATATATGTTAGATAATAAAGGACTTACATGAATCTTTATTTTCAGCTTGGGTAGAGATCTCGGTTAAACATCGCATAACTTTACCAAAAGTTTGACAATAAGCAATTAAGAGTGATTGAGACAAATTATTGAATTTAGTAATAATTATAATTGATTCAGGATCAGAAAACATCTATAGATAACAAAAAAAAAACAAAAAAGAAAGTGACATATATACTTGAAATAAAGAAATATTCAAATATGCCATGCAAAGATAAACAAAAAACAAAAAACAAAATAAAAATTATTAATATTAACATCAAGATTCTTGTTTAGTTTTATTATAAAATATAAAATTGAATTGTTTATTATTGATTGTTGATGAATTATTATGATTTACCATTACTAAATATATCGATGGTTAACTTAATAAAAATAATTTTATTGTTCATTTTTAAGAAGTTGAAAATAAATAAAATGATAGAGTATAGCTTTGTTTGAATATGAGTGAACACAAAGAAAATGATTCGAATGACAAAGACAGTTGATTTGAATTGATAAAATGAACAATTTTTCTTCGTTTTCTTTTGGGATCATCAATCATTTATCTCAATCACGAACTAAAAAGAACAGTTCGATTATCGATAATCACCAATATATTTATGCGTTTCAAAAGTTCTAAGTGTATTAAAAAGCATTCGACTTCAAACTCGACCGATTGATATTTTTTCTTCGTGATTGTATAGATTACAAATTGGTCATACTAGCTCGAATTGATACGAAAAATATGATTAACTATGCTGATATTGATATCATTCTCTCGCTACTATCTTTTCATTTCCTCTTTCCTTTCTTTCATCCTTTTCTTCTCGTTCTCTCTATTGTTCTTTTTTGTGTTAATCTCTCTCGCATATAAACTTGTGTTTTATGTGCGATAGATAGATTCTAGAGATATGAAGTAGCTAAATGAACATTATTGCCAAGAATGTTGGTAAGCTATTCATCCACCTTGTTGTTACATAGCAGCTATAACGATGTAACATCATAGAGCATCGTTTGAAAATATGATGTAAACAACTGTGAAAAATATTAGTAACAATTATGACTATCGAATTATTTAAAACTAACAGAAACGAGTTGGAATAAGTATTGATTGAGATCATGAATCGATGAAGATATACAAATTGAAAAGCATGGTATTGCTGCGTGCCTATAGTATTAAGTTGTTGTAATAGTGGCAGAAAAACAATGCTATAGAATATCAATGAATGTACCAAAGAGCAGAGATCGGATTGAACCGATTGTGTGAATTCTTCAACAAACTTTTATTTTTTTTTACAATGATGATATGGTTCACACTACTTCTTCACAGATTACTCGATTATTCTCCATTTCATTTCTCTGTCAAAACAAAAAAAGAAAGAAATAAGACGGTATGGACGATAATTAACGGGATATCATATCAGATGTAAACAAATAAAACCCATTCATCATCAACACTTCGTTGACATGACTGACACTAGGATCAGTCAAAGAATCATGATCTGTTTTTTGTCTTTTCTCACTATCTATACTGTATCAAATTAACTGCTTGTTAGTGACTAACAATATGTTAAGGCCAAATATATGTCAATGAATATAAACAACGATAAAAACTAATCGATAAAATTGATGAAGATTGACGATATTCAAATATCAAAGGCTTCTTTCTTTAATTATTTTTCATTAAACATGAAGTTTTCTGTTATTGTACGAACACGAACAGTGGTGTTGACAAGGTGAAACGTGAAACTTTTTGATTATATATATGAAGATTTTCTGCTAGGAGAATGAAATAGTTTGGAATATATTGTTTTTATGTATTTTTTTTATTGGCGCATTGTGGCACCGGATATTTCTGTTTATTTTTCTTTTAAAGTACTTGAAATGCTGCAATTGATAATCGAAAAGCATGGAAATGAT